TAAGGCTGGCAGGCTATTGGAGGTACATTCAAGCAGTAACAAATGGGGTGGGGCAGAGGAGAAAGGGAGGAAAAGGATGGGGTGTGTGGGGGCAGAAGAGGGAAGGAGGAATTAGCTCTCAACATCAGTGGCAACATTCGTTTCCCTTATTGCTCAATATCCTGCACAGTTAATCCTCTGGACACCAGAGCAATCAATGCTGGCAGGCCTTTTCTCAGTCGTTCTCTCTGAAAAAAAGATGTATTCAAGGGACGCTGGACCCGCTTTCCAGCAGGTGACGCTCCCCACCRATAGATGGAGCCGCTTTTTAGGGAAAAAAAAAAAAAAAAAAAAACCTTCGGAGTCCGGACCCATTTTATTTATAGTTCTACTCCAACCTACTAGACTGGACTGCCTAGGACTTAAAACCAACTAGCAGTTATGGGTCTGTCTTTTCCAGTAAAAATGGTCCCGATCTGAGGCAAAAGGAAAGCAACAGCTGTCTCTCCCTTCTGTCAAAGTTGACTGGCACACTGTTCAGAACATGCCAGACTATTACAGATTGGGAATCGCCCACCAGGATCTCCAGCGGATGTTCAAGGTCAGTGACCTTGAGTCCTAGTTGGGATACTCTTTGGCAAAGTGTGTTTTCCTGCAGACCTAAGGCAAAACCCATCATCCTTCCTCTTCTGCCAAACCCGCTTCCATTTCCGTCAGGTAGAGTCCTGAACCTCCAAAATTTTTAGATTGGCTCAATTTCGATTCTCAAGTTTGCCTGGGCGAGGTACTGGTGATATGAGATGGAGTGCCAACTGTGCCTTTTGCAGGACATGCCCTATGCACTTGTCCAAGACATGCCATGGTATGCACATGCGTAAGACATGCCATAGTATGCACTTCCGTAAGACATGCCATGGCAGGCACTTGTCCAAGACATCCTGTGACATCATTTTCTCTAGTTCAAGGCCCTGTAGGCCCTGTGGGACGTCTCTCGTCAACAGACTCAATGCCATCCCCAGCATCAATTCTGAAAAGTTGAAAACCAAGACTGCAGCACAGTCCTAACCACACAAAGAACACGTAAAAATGATACGTAGAATTACTTGCCAGGACCATGCTGGGAGCACGGTGGAAGCCCACCTACCAATAGCAGGCTCACCTACCATGCTTCTTAGGAAGTTGAAGTTGAACTTAAACTTAAATCAAGATCCGAGTCAACTTGAGCAAGGCGGCAACTTCCTGATACTGGACTCGCACTTTTGCACTAGTTGCGCAGGAAAACACGATCAGAGATGAGATGTTTGAGAGTCCTCTTGCCAGTTTCAAGCCCGTACTTCTCAATTTTATTTTAGGCTTTTAGTTTCCATATATGCTGCAGAGCTTATGTGCCTTACAGGCATTCCCTTTTTTTTTACCTACAGACAATGCTAAGGCAGTATCAGGTCATACTCCACGCTCCACGAGGAAGTAGTTCTGTCACCACAAGGAGAAATGTCCATTGTCCATCCCTCATGGAGATTACATTGTCAGGGAGGGTACAGCTCCAAGCCTCCAAATTTGGTAACAGACAAATCAGCTTACTCAGAGATTCAAGAAGCTCTTTGCAATCGACATGACAACGTAAACAAAATATGCTTCATGACCAATGCTCTATGCAACGATAATTGCAGTTGTTGATAGACTGTTACACCTAATTGTTTACTTGGATCATCATGCATAGCCTCATGAATTGACTTGACTCATAGGTTGGGTGGTCGCTGGACAAAGCATGACTCACCATCTCATCCGCCCTGGATTTTCTCTTCACTCCTCTCCTCTCCTGCTGTTCCGATTTATGACTCGACTCCTCACCATCACCACTGCCACTTTCAGAATGACATGCACTCTCTGAGCTGCTGGTAGTCTGATCCTCTTCTTCCTCCTTGCTGGACGACTCCTCTTCCTCACTATGAGCCTTGTCAATCTGTTCACTCACATCCTCCTCATCCTCATTCTCATCCTCATTCTCATCGTCATCCTCCTCCTCCTCTTCTTGGTCCTCCTCCTCCTCCTCCTCGTCTTCATCCTCTTCCTCTTCTTCTTCTTCTTCCTCCACTTCTCCACCACTGTCCTCGTCTGAGGATTCATTCCTATTGTGACGGGATTCCACTTGATTGAGGTAGGCTGATGCTGAACGTTTCCTCCTAGCAGCTCGTTTCCCTGAGCTCTTGACCTCAAAGACCTGCAATGCTCTCTCACTTGGTGACACAAGGTACACATTACAGTAGCCAGACAAAGGTGCCATCAACGGATAAAGCAATCAGAGTCATTTAATAGCCGCACGCAGACCACCTGCACACAGTTGTTGCTTGGCTTCAAGTTCCGCATTCATCTGCAGGGCTTGGAAGTCGTTGAAAATGTTTTATAGGGCTCGGGAGTTGGGGCCTTATTTCCAGAAGCAAAACCCTCTGCTTAAACCCAACCCTAGGATATATACATATATCGCTGAAACCCTAAGCCCAACCTTGGAAACCAAATGCTATGCCTATTTAGTATTTAGTGACTGGATTCAATGCAAGCCAGAGAACTGTTCATGCCCAAGAGCAGCATTGTGATCCTTCACAAGACAATCTACCCAGGTGTGAAAATAAGAGAATAGTTCTCCGTGAAACCGTAAGCCCAACCTTGCGGACCAAATCCTACCTATTTCCTGGTTGGGTTCAATGCAAGCCAGAGAGATGTCCATGCCCAAGAGCAGCTTTGTCATTCGGCAAAATAAAATCTATCCAGGCAAGCAATAACTCCAAATAAGACAATAGTGCTTCAGGACAGCCATTAAGATTGGAATGATGCTTGGAATCATGCAGAGAAGATTAACACGGCCCCTGCAGAAGGATGACACACATGAATCCAAAAAGGGTACAAACTTCAAAGCCTTCTGCAAAAAAAATAAAAATAAATACAAGAATGGACACAACCTCTTACCAATCCACACCATCATGAGAAGACAACTATCAGTCACAAAATCATGAGCACCCAACACCATATCAAATTATCAATTTGACAATTACAAGATCAAGAGCACACCAGATCGCTACAGTGGTGGACAACAGAATGGTGTGGAAGAAGTGGCACAACACAAGAACAGGGTCCCATTGAAGAACTAACTGAGATTATAATCTCAACAGCCTAGACTCTCCCCTTTTCTTGCTTTATACGTAGTATCTGGCAGAGTCATTATAGATTCTGAGAGGTAAAGAGGTAGGGCAAGCTGACAGTCAATCCTCCTGATAAGGAGCAATCAATGCTGGTCAGGGTTCCTTCGGCCAGACGGAAGGAAGCGTGTGGGTGTTCACCATGTATTTCATTCTCGACTTGCCGGTGGAAAGGAACCGGACTGACGCTCCCCAGAATGGATATGGAGCCAGGACCATAAGGACCTGTNAAAAAAAAAAAAAAAAAAAAAAAAAGATCAAGAGCACACCAACTGGGACCCCCTTCATTAGATTCTGCAACAAGGCTTTTACTTTACCCTGCAAACTTGAAAACCCCATCATCCCGTGCAACAGCCCTGTCTAAGACAGTCCTGACCTACTTCCTTCCTTGCATTCCCTATCTCCACGAGCTTAGGAATTCCCTTCCCTGCAATTCCTCTCTCTCCAGAATACTGCAGCACCCTTATACTACCTGCTGAAACATGGTGTAAACACAACGCTTGTGACCTATGAAGTCACTGCCACTCAGCTCTTCACCCATTGTCTTTCCTTCTTTCGTCATTTTATCCCCCCGATTCCCCAAAACCCTTCTGTCTATGTTTTTGGTTGCCATTTCCTGCAACCCTCGTTTCGTGTTGCTAAGGCATCATGCAGCCTTTCTTTTTGCATGTTGCCACATGTCCTCCTCTTGCAACACTCCCACACACTAGATCCCTCCAATGGCAGTCACGCTTCCAGATACAAAACCATGAAGCAAAACCCATAACAGAACTTGTGCTGCTTACGTATCAAGTTCAAATGTGGCTAACGGTCGCTAACCACAAAATACCTCCAGCGTAGAGTGACGTGTAAACAAACCCCATCCTCACACTCCTATACTCAGAAGATGAAGGATTGCCGCCCGATAACATAGAGAGAAACTGCTGCTGTACAGACACGATACTTCGTTGTATAAGACTTTGTTGCAAGATGCAGGGTGAATTTGTGAGATCATAACAATGGAGTGAAAATGAAATGACGTATGCAAGCACTGTGCATCTTCTTCAGCCTGATTAGACTGATGTTCAAACTTTTCCTTACCAGAGGGACTGAGATGCATACACCAAGCATGATAGTGTTGCAGCAGACTCCACTTCCTGCTGCCAGGCTTTCCGAATTGCTGGCATGTGCCACAGCCTGGAGTCCCTGGATGACTGACACAATCATAAAACATGATACGAGAAAAGTAAGATGAACCGGTATAGCTGGCCTTCCATAACAAAGAAAGAAACAGCAACAGAGGGCAGTGGAAGATGAGCAAGAGACCAAGCTCACCAGTGTGAATGAGTGAGGGAGAGGCTGGCTGCCAGTGGCTGGATCTTCCTTACAATCTCGCTATATCTATAGCACTCGTCATTTCTTTCAGCCCAATGGAAGGACTGTAATTTCTGTAAACCATTCTTAGTCCCACTGCCCATCCAGTTTCTCAACATATCGGTAGCCAGCCTTCCATGCTTCACAGGTCAAACAACAGCCAAGGAATCAGACTTCCTGAGTCACAAGGTGGTGATTACAATTGACAATTGTTGTCTTCCACAATTAAATTTCTGCCTTTCCTCCTCTTCCTTCCCTTGAACACGGAAAATCCAAGTGTTTGTCAACGTAGGAGGCCTACCTCTTCTCCGTCTGTCAGTTCTTCCTCATCCTCCAGCTGGCTGACAGTTGGCCGGTTCACCTCGGGCACGGGACCATCTGTTTCAGAGGCACCCTGCAAAATCCACCGCATATATCGGTTGTCAGAAGGTCGATGACGCGAAAGACTTTGCCAGATTTCTTCAAATGTGTCAGAATAGAGAAGAGGGAAACTGCGATGGTTCATGGATGCATGTTAATGCTCTGGAAAAGACGACAAGCTGGCATCAGGTCTGGATAATCATAAAAAAAATGCAGAGCTTGAAGCATATCTTCCATGAGCAAAATAGCAGCCAGGCAAGTGTAGAGACTACTAGAGAGTGACCATTGTTGCTTTTACTTCCAATGCTTTAGATGACTAAAGGAACCAGTTAATGAGAACACAAATTTTATCAGCATCTGAAAACATAAAGCAGAACATGCACGTGAGAGGCAAGTTGAAAGCAGATCTACAAACCCAAGAACATACCAAACGACAACACAATTCTGCTCAAGTCTCTTGATACAGAAAGCTCAACTTCTCGCCTCCTCTTATCAATACAACAACTGAGTAGCTGCTCTCCTATGATGTGACCGCCTATACGACTATCCTACTCTGTCTCTCTCTCTCTGTCTCTCTCTCTCTCTCTCTCTCTCTCTCTCTCTCTCTCTCTCTCTCTCTCTTGCTCAACAACACTGCGAAGTGTGGCCACTACATGCATGCTCCTTGGCCATCGCCAGGCAAGTCCACCTGCCCCATCGCTGTCCTCTTCCCCTGATCACCCAAGCCCCCGTGCACCCCTTCTTCCCTCCAGTGCAGCTATGGCTGCCGCTGGTGGAGCCGCTAACCTGTGACGGCTCCTCCCTTCTCCCTCTCTGTAGCGCCGGGTGCAGCCGCTTGCTGCTGCGCTAAAATTAGCGCACGTCGGCCAGCACCCTCCAAATTGTTGAGTGTCCTGCAGTGGCCTCCATTCCTTTTGCTGAATCTGGTAGGCCGTGGCTGCTTGGCGCGGACCTTCCGGTTGCAGAAACTTCTGGACAGTGCCCTCTGGATATCGCTTCGCCCGACGGGATCCACAAGCCTGGCCTGCACTTCGGGCCGCGGCAATTCTTCACAGGCGGCCCCTGCTGGGCGACGAGGCCTGAAGCCTCGCACAACCACCACCTTTGGAAAAATCGGGCCAACCATTGCAGACAGTGGAAAAGAAAAACCTGAGGCCATCAGATTATCAGCTTAGTGCACCAACTGACAAAGAGTGAACCGTCTAGTAGCAGGTTCCCTCTGTCAGTGTACAAATTGGGCCGTCTGTTGGGACAGCCCGACGAGAAACCTCCTCGAGAAACCTGAATGAGGGCGTACTCACACTACAACTCATTTTACTAAGCCCTGGACTTGATCGTGAACCAATTCACTAATGTTGGGCTGTAATAGCAGTCAGATACATTTCAGAGAAGTGCCAGTGTATGAGAGAAATGAGAGAAAAAATACACAAATGGAACATAATTTGAAAAATATGACTTGAGGTTTAATATCATGGCATACATCATCTTCTTCATGTCACTTCCCATGCGACTACATCGCTGGGAGCTCAATCCTTCCACTCAAGTGCCAGTGCCTCTTGGCCGGACCGAGGGGGAGATTTGGAATGCATCCTCAAACGAGGACTTTTTCGACAGAGTTCTGGACGCTATACTGGCTAGATGCATGTGAAATATAGTCTTAGCTCAAGTTAGTTGTTTCTTTTCTTTCTTTTTTTTTTTTTTTTTTTTTTTTTTTTTTTTTTTTTAATTAAAAATGGGGCCAGCGTCAGCATTTAAAAATCTATCTGACCACCCTGTCAAATATTTCAGTTATTTGTTGCTCTTTTTTTTCTTTTCTTTTAACCACCCTATATTCTTCTCTCATTATATCTTCCCCGCTACCTACCTATCTACCTACTAGTCCAGTTCGATTTTTGCCTAAGCTGCTCTGTGTGGGGAGCAGTACCCCGGCTACTAACCCCTGGTGTGGGATGGAAGGCCACAAGCAAGACAACAACAAGCAACCTACCACCAGCAGCCAGGGGGCCAAACCATCTATCTCCGCTGGTGAACCCAAAGTGTGCCGCAGGAGGCCGTAGGGGGTCTGATGGATGCCGCAGGGAATCGAACCCACGACCTCCTGAATGCCACTTACGCGCTTTTCCTTTTTCTCTTTTTTGAGTTCGTTTGTTTTGTTTCACTATCTCACTCCTCCTTGCTAAAAAAGGGATGAATCCAACACCCAATTTCGGGCGCATTCAAGCTGCTTCAAACAAGCTTGCGGGCCTAGGCTTCGATCAGCCGAGTTGAAGGGTATAGACACACGACGGTTCGATGATAGGAGAGGGGAGTTCTTCTTTTTGCGAACAAAATGCTGTCAAACCATGCGTCCGGAGGGCAGAGCTATTCGTGAGTGGTGGGGAAGAAGAAGAAGAAGAAGAAGAAGAAGAAGAAGAAGAAGAAGACGAAGACGACGACGACGACGAAGAAGAAGAAGAAGAAGAAGAAGAAGAAGAAGAAGAAGCGGGAGGAGGAAGGAGAAGAGGCAGGACCTTGTGTCGCCATCGACTGTGCCATCGACTGTGCGTCGACGGGAGACCACCTAAGCCTTCCTCCAAAGCTGCACAGGAAAAGCCCAAACCCAATCCCAGGGAACAGTAAAGCTTCATAGGGTCTTTCTGTCCAGGTTGAGGTATTCCGCATCTTCACAGACATCTCTATTTCACCGAGTCTCTCTTCGAGACAGCGCCCAGATCGCTACGCCTTTCGTGCGGGTCGGAACTTACCCGACAAGGAATTCTGCTACCTTAGGACCATTATAGTTACAGCCGCTGTTCACCGGAGCTTCGGTTGCTAGCTTCACCATAATAGGAGTTACCAACTTCCTTCACCTTCCGGCACTGGGCAGGCGTCAGCCCCCATACGTAGTCTTATGACTTTGCAGAGACCTGTGTTTTTGGTAAACAGTCGCCTGGGCCTGGTCACTGCCACCTCCTGTATAAGGAGGTACCCCTTCTCCCGAAGTTACAGGGCTATTTTGCCGAGTTCCTTAGGGAGAGTTGTCTCACGCCCCTAGATATTCTCTACCTACGTACCTGTGTCGGTTTGAAGTACAGGGACCCACTTATTATTAGTCTTTCGAGCTTTTCTTGGAAAAATGGCATGGATTTCAGTGCCGTAGCACCTAGTACTAGGATGTTAGCTCCGAGTGTTTTCTTACTGCAAGCATGTATGTTTTGACTAGCGAGTTGGTGAACTATGGCGGGCAGGAAAAAGAGGAAAAGCTGGCGCACTCGCCTAGAGCGGCACCTCTAGGCTGGAGGAACGGTGTACCTCGTAGGACCCTATCCTATCGTAGGGATTCGTGAGAGGTAAAACCAAAAAAGTCTTAAAAACAAAAAACAAAAAAAAAGAGGTATAGCTGGTGCACTCGCCTAGAGCGGCACCTCACTCCTCATATGATATATATATAATATATACAGTATTATAGATATACGATATATAGATTATCACATATCTATGAAGCGAAGGAGCGCACTTTGCGAGACAAAGTTATAAGATGATAAGACAAACATGAAGAGCACACTGAAACCATTTATTTTTCTCATTTTCTTTTAACTCCCCTTTTTGAAACGGTTTCACTCAGTTCGCACGACAGTGCGGATCCCAGGGATCGATCCCTAGACCTTTCCTCACCCCTGTACAGCTACCCGTTGACCCTGTGTGTCTCCAACCAGCGACCTGGCCCCTAAAAGTCGTAGGTCTGTGTCCTGTCTGTTTGTTGGGTCGTGGGGATTCGAACCGTAGACAATAGGATTAGTAGTCCTAAGGGTCTGCCGACCTTCTTCCCCTACGTATGGTCATTATAGCTGTATTTAGACTGAAAGATACCCCAAATTCAGCTATAATGACCGTACGTTGTATTTGGGGGAAGACCGTAGCCCTTAGCCTAGGAACTTATAGAAGTCAGTAGGCTAGCTGAGTCAGCGAGGGGGAGGTTAGCCCTAAGCACTAACGAAGGGTCAATCCACGCAGCCTAGGAGTTTCCAGAAGTTGCTGCGTGACTCTTGGAGGCTGTAAGAGTCAGCCAGTCCCGGTCGCAGTCCCAGTCCACCTTGTCCAGTCAGCAGGTACCAGCCGGCCCTGCACACTTTTGGGCCCGGGACCGGGGGCAGGCCAGACCACCGACGAAACAGTATAAATAAAGAGGCAGCGCCAAGCCATTCATTCATTCGCCTGTGAGCCATGCAGAAGCGCTGCTTATGCGACTTGTGCGTTGGAGGCCTGCAGGTGCCCGACGAAGAAGAGGGCGAGCGGTCATAGCCGCTAGAGGAGGAGGAAGACGACAGCGGCCATAGCCGCCCAGTTGCTGACGTCAACAGATAGAGTGTAGTGTGTGTGTGTGTGTGTGTGTGTGTGTGTGTGTGTGCGTGGACATTCAGGGTAGATCCTATGTGTGTGTGCATGTGCGTGAGTTATGTAAGGGTGTCTAATGGTGGAGACAGTATTAAAGGGGGAATTCAGGCTACCGCGGCCATAGCCGCCAGATGTGAGAAGTTGACTTAAGCCGGTTTCCTGGCCGAAGGCCATATTTCTGAGTTCTCTGTGTGGGCGCAGTGCGCCATCGCAAGTTTGTTGCTGATTCTGCGTTGACGAAGTTGTGTTGCAATCGGCACCTACATGTATGCATTTTGTAAGTGAAATTGAGACAAGTCTGATTGCACTTTACTGTGCCTCTCACGTACAAGGCTCGCCACATTGATGAAGTTGAGCACTAGCTGCCTGCATCCCCATGTGCCATAACGACCCACTTGTATGCTGTGAGAAAGAGGCGGGGAGGGGATAACCACAAAGAAGAGATGGAGAGAAGACAAAGGAAAGGAAGACAAAGGGAAAGTAAGGAATGTGGAATGAAGATGAAAGCAAAAAGGAAAGGATAGGAAAAGGCTCAAGAATCAGTCTGTCTTTGACGACAAAGAGGACATACATTGTAAGGATGAGGTGGATGAACACATGGAAGACCTACCTGAGAATTCTCAGTATAACAATTGCCACGACAGCTGGCATTGAGGATGCCCACCATACACTCCTGACAAATGGCATGTCAATTGCAGGCAGACATTAAGGAGGAACAGACGCCACCACAAAAGACAGACCATATATACGTTACGCATCCTGCACGATGCGGCCGGGAGGGCCCTTGTGCATGCGCACTTGGGCTGATGCACGCATCGGTGGACCTACCTAAGAATTCTCAGTATAACAATTGCCACGACAGCTGGCATTGAGGATGCCCACCATACACTCCTGACAAATGGCATGTCCATTGCAGGCAGACATTAAGGATGAACAGGCGCCACCACAAAAGACGGACCATATATACGTTTTGCATCCTGCACGATGCCGCCAGAGGGTCCTTGTGCATGCGCACTTGGGCTGATGCAAGCATCAGTGGATGTTCGATGTGTGAGGCAAAAAACGGGTTAGGGCCTGAAGGCCCTCCCCCATGACCGTGAATGGTCCCTGCAACGTTTTTGGGCAGCGCCCCCAAAAAATGGGAGGGCAGGTAGGGCCTCCCCTAGGTGGTAGTCTCCGAACGCCGTGCCCCAGTTTCAACATTTGGGTGGCAGTCGACTGTCCAAATGGACAGGGGAATCGAGGGGATCAATTTCAGATTGGTCATCAATTTGGAATGTTGCTGCAGACGGAAGGGCCAGATGGGACCCTTGTGAGGTTTAAGGAGTTCTAATAGTATTGTGGATCAGGAGGAAGGCCAGAGAGACATATTGCAGGTCAAGTAGATAATCTTCAGTCATGTAGGACTGAAATACAAAGAGAACAAAGGAAACATGGCGAGGTTGATGTCGCTTTTGCGAAGCTCCATACTCTGTGTGCATGTGTGAATTTCATACGTTGCCTCTTTTGTGTGGCTTTTCACAATCACTCTCACAGCTGTACGCAAATGGAGTGATGGGGGGAAATAGAGCAGTGCCGAAAGATAGTTGACACACCACAGATTTAACACCACACACAAAACTGGATCCGCATTGGAGAAGAGTATGGTGGCTGCTGTCTTTTTCAAGTATATAATTTTCAGTAACCTAGAGAACTGAAAGATAAAGAGAAGAAAGGAGGCATGGTGACATTGACGTACAGCTGTACACAAATAAATTGATGTGGGGACAAACAGAAGCACTGGAAGATAGTTGACACCCTACAGATTTAACAGCACACAAAACTTTATCTGCATGGAGAAGAATATGGTTGCTGCTGAGCACTGCCCACCACCTTCAAACAATACTGTACTGTGTGCAGGGATGAATTGAATTCACTTACGCAAGGAAAACATAGGAACTGTACCCAGTTCTCTATTGAACTGGTCGTGTCTTCATGGCATGGTTGAAATGACAAAATTGAAAATGCATGTGAGGTTGGGAATGCAAACAAAGCAAGTAGCAAAAAATAGGAGGAGAAAAGGCAGAGGAAGAGAGGGGACAAGGGCATGTGTATTGGGTGGCTGCGATCTGTTGCTCATCCAATTTATGAAATACGAGGAAGGTTTCTGTACTTACTGCATTGACATGATTCTCGTCTTCTTCTTCTACATGCCCAGTACTGGCATGAGCTGAACTTCCGCCCATTTCAAAGACTATCTGCACAACCAAGCAAAGAATAACCCATAATCAGCAACCTCAAATCACAGGCACTGCGTGCAACAGGAAATGAGCTACAGAGAGTTGGAGACCAACATAACACAGGTGACACACATTGAGCACATTCCGTCATTGAGTTTGTGAAGGACACCACAAAAACTTGTCTGAGCGATAAATGAAAGATACCAACCATGCGGGGCAACAGAAGACAATTTCTCTGCTAACACGTTCCACGAAATCAGCATCATTTGGATACAGCCGCCACTTGCTCGGCTACTTCATCTATTCATTTAAACGACTTTGCCCCTATGCTCGGCCGTCGCCCAGCCAGGCACGCTGGGGCCAGTTAGGCAGAGGGGGGGTCGCCCAGCAAAACCACACAGGTCAAAAAGGAGGCAAGGATCTCCCCCCCCCCCCGAAAAAAAAGGATTCAGTCCAGGACTGTGCTTGGCCTAGGCAGTCAGAATCCGGTTTTAACTTCGATTTTGGTGATGGGTCATCCAGGGGGGTTTGGGGGGAATAAACAGTGACTAAACTTCACTAAAGGGGTTTAAAAGGGTAACATTTCTCATGATTTCTCATTCAAATTAACAAGGAATTTCAAGGTGGCCCTCAGCCAAAAGTTGTTTGTAACTTTGTATTGTAATTTTAGTATTTTACACCACATATTGTTTTTCCGATTTTTTTTGAATTTTTTTCCCCCTTTTTAAAAATATTATGTGCTCGGACCGCCCGGGACCCTGCCCGGCCCGGGCCGCCCGGGGAGCAGCACAGCTTTGCCCTACGTTTTCCATTGACTTTGGCCCCCATGAACCTTGCGGGACCACCAACTTGTGGTCTGACTACATTTGTTACATAGTAGCAGCAGGGTCTGTCGAATTCGTTTTTAACATTGAGTTTAGGTGGATGGACTTCTAGTATCTGCGTGATGAAATCTTGCATGGCACTTTCTGACATTGACTTGGAGTCCCTGGAGCAGTAGGGTCTGTACAATTCGCCTCGAATGACAACGACAAATGTTCGCAACAGGAACCGGGCAGTATGGCCATCCATGTAAGTCATGCTTACGCCAGACATTCTGTGTGATTATAAGGCCTAGCGCAAAGGCATTGAGAAATAGCACTCCGCAGGGGAGGCCAGTTCTGAAGCCCAACTCCTTGTCCACGTAACGACTGTGTTAGCTTATTGTTCATTCTTCCAGTCGTGAGACCATGACATACTTG